GTAGAAGTGAATCATTTACTGCTTGCAAACCAATGATGGTAAGATGATGTCATGGGGTAGGACTGGATAAGTCTGACTTCTTCCTACTCCATTCAAGCATGTACTAGGTATAAGCAAATTGATATTGGATTGCGTGTAAAAATGTGTGTTGTTATATCAACGGTTTTATATGCTTGAAAGAATAAATCAAATCAAATCAAATCAAATAGTAGACAACTGTACTTATTCATTTAATTATTTGTAGGAAAAGATTAAGTGCTGTAATGTTGCACAGAAAAGAACTAAATATGGAGAATATCAAAAACCTGTCATTTGATTATCGAGACAAAGCTAAGTAGAAAAACTTTACACAACGGACTGCACCTCAAGGGACCCTTCTGTTAAACTCCTGAAGTTTGCCAATGACACAGTGGTCATCGGTCTCGTCCAAGACGGTGACACATCTGCGGTGTGGTTGCAACAACCTGGAGCTGAACACACTCGAAACAGTGGAAATTACAGTGCACTTCAAGAGGGGTTTGTTTGACATTGACATGAGAAGTCTGAGTGCTTGTTTTGGCAGAGTACTCCTCTGTCAGGATCTGCACGTGATGCCGCCGAAATGTTGTGGGTGAACTCTATTAAATTGCCAGATGAGGATATGTGATGATACAGTCCATGGTCAGAGCCAGCAAACACATACATCAAAGAAATCCAAAGTTTGTGGTCCAAAAGGAAGTCCGTTAAGCCGATACACATAGAAGCAGTCCAGAACAAGATGGCAAGGCAGAACAGAATTGTCAAAATACAAAATACCAAAACCAAACTAGAGAAATGCATTTCCTGTTGTAAATGTGTGTGGATGCTGTGTGCTGAAGGATCGCCCTGAAAATGTTGAACATTTTGACACCTGAAAGGCATATCTACCTGAAAGTATGCTGAAGTAAATTTTTCCCATTCATTTGAAAGGGGCAAAAGTTTCAAAATAAAGCTAAATATTTCAAAGGTATGAAGTTTAGAAAAATTCTGAAAAGAAGCATGAATGTCCTTGAAGAGCCGAACATTTTGATATCTGAAATAGCCCCATTCAATTGAATGCGGCAAAATTGTCAGAATAAATGCTGAATATTTTCAAAAGTATGAAAGTTGTAAAAAAAAATGTTGACTATACATCATAATGTCCTGAAAAACCTGAACATTTTGATACCAGAATGGCTTTTCTAGCTGAAAGTATACTGAACTAATTAAGATGTAAACATTTTCCTATTGGTCCCCGCAAAGTAGGTAAAAGAAGTAGTGTTGTGTGTGAGTGTGTAGGTGTTTGTGTGTATGTGTGTGTATGAGAAAGAAAGATTAGTCCTACACAGTTGGAAATACTAGTGTGGCTATTGAAATGAGGCATAAATTGTAAATGGTAATCATGCAAAAAACCATAAAAAAATATCAAAAAGCTGTTTACAGTATGAAACATATAAATGTTACAAACAATAAAAATACAAGCCAGAATGTCCTTAAAGAGTTGAACATTTTGATAACTTCATGGCTTTTGTAGCTGAAAGTATGCTGAAGAAATTAAGTGCTGAAAAACGGACAGAAGAAATCAGAATAATAAAGAACAGGATAACATACAGTAGTGCGGGTGCTTCACAGCTTCCCCCCAATAATGTGTGTGGTTATTAAAGTAAAAAGACCGAAACTGAGGTGAAACAAAAACAGGAAGTGATGTCAAAATAAGAGCATGACAGGAAGCAGCGGAATCGAATCATAACACTCCTCCTTTGGAATGATAAAGCTGTCCAAGTTTAGTTTTATCAAAAGCAGGACTTCTTACCAGAACAAAGACCTCAGATAGCAGTAAAATAATAGTTTTGTTAGAGGTGTGAATTAAATTTAACATAAAAATATATATTAATCCAATAAATTGGATATTTGAATATTTATTTTATGTTAAATTTAATTCACACCTCTAACAAAACTATTAGGCTGAACTTCCTTATATGTTGGTGTGAACAACCGCCTTTCCCCTCGCTTAAGAGAATGATTTACAATTTCAATTTGATATTTATTTAATTACAATTCTGAAAAGAGAATTAATTCGGTTTTTACATTACATCTATCAAAACACTGTTGACTAAACTTCCTTGAAACTAAACCCTCTCCCTTAATCCCAGCTGATTATTAAATATTTAGAGAGAGACATTAAGTTTTATACCTGTGGGTCATGATGCCAGGGGTGCTGGTCAGACCTGTTCCCATGAGAAACCCTACAAATTCTTTGTTGCCCTCCAGCAGCTCTTTCTGCTGCTGTGACAGATTGTGCTATTTCCATAGACATTTGAGTGTAGCCAATCAGAAACTAGCAGTTTCAGATACCGATATAAAGTATA